CCCCCCCCCCGGTCCCCCCATGTCAAAAAAAGCCCGGTCTAGGTAGGGTTAAGACAGGTTTGTAACGTTGCATGAAGAATGCAAATTTTCTTTGCTATCTAAACTACAAAACTACAATATCTTGACACACAATCACAGAGGATACTGCTCATTGTTTTGTAAGGCAATATTACAGTCATTATACCTCACCGTTTTCTTTCAAACATGCTATGCTCGCAGATATTAATATTAAGAACGGTCACTAGATGGGAAAGCCAGAGACCTAGCCTCTTAAAAGGTCTTTCCAAAGTTCCAATATCAAAAACATTCCTTATTCTATTCTATGTTAAACTTTATAGACCTGGAATTGTCTCAATCAGTTAACCAGTTTGGCTTCACTGCTGTTGTGTTTTATAGATATAATGTTTTTTTTCAATATCCTGTATGATACTATTAATGATGTCATTATCATTTTGTTATAATAGGTCAAAAAAATTAACGAAGAGAGAACAGAGCATCAGCAGAAACTGATCATAAAGTTGCAAAAGCAGGTAAGGACCCGAACACTGAATTTCTTTGGCAATTTCATTTCCGTTTTATCTGTTTTTCACCTCTAATCACATATTATTACATCAGGGCTCAAAATTAGTAGTACATATGCACGTTAGTACATGTAAAATTGCAGCAGTGCAGGTGTTTCTTGTTTCTACCTGCACCTAACCTGCACTGCCCTAAATGTATTTGTAACATAGCTATTACGCATGTATCATATACTAAGCAAATTTAAGTGATTCTTATTTCCTGCATTGACTGCTTTCACTATAAAAGTATGAATGAAATGATGGCAATGGTCTATGAACAGTTTTTATATGATATATTTATCCTAAATTCTGTGCTAGGCGGGTAAATGTTGTCTGGTGCATGTGATTTACAATATTCGTGTAACATTGCTTGTATGCAGAAAAAAAATAATAAAAATTAAAACCCTCAAAATATAATGTACTGTATGTATATATCGGCAGATTAACGTAATGATTCTTTATTCTATCCGTAGATGGAGGCTAACAAGGGGTTTGTGAAGAACCTCAAGGAGGTGAGTTTTACGGAAATATTCTGTTTTTTTTTAAATTCACAAATTATGTCGTAACAAAACATAATTTCCTTTGCTAGCAACAAACACTTTAAGATAACCAGTTTCTATACTACTACTATAATACCAGAATCTGTGCTGTCAAAAAAATCGCATTTAATTCTAAAACGATGCATGTGAAGATGGACTAAACTGTAAAGAAAATATCTCTTTTTATCATCACAGGAGCTTACTGAGCAGATGGAGCCACATGTAAGTCACAAGTTTAAGCACTCTGAATTGAAAAAAAATAGGCTACCGTTGTCTCTTTTCTTCCCTAGTAAATATAAGAGACTATAATTCAAAACCTTTCTTCAATATCTATCTCATAGAGGTTTTGGTTATGTATACTGTTTATTGTACAAAAGTTTATCTTGTATTGTATTTGTGTAGTTTAATTGTTTGACATGTGTATTTTTTCAACGATAACTAGCATAGTTTTTTTTTTAGATTATTTGTAATTAATAAAGTCAATATTGGTTAAGTATAGGTTAAAGCACTTACCGAGCATTTGGTTAGAAAAACACAATTCAGACTCAGAAATCTTTTATGTGTTTAAATAAAGATTATATATCATTGCAATAAGAAAAGAGTACCTTATTACAAGGGTAATTAATATTCTTATATTGCTAAACCTGACCTGTATACGGTGCTAAATGCGTTCCTGTAATTGATTCTTCAGAGCGAAATGCTCAACAACACTCCTTCTCCAGAAGATGTAAACAACGAAGCGACAATTAAGAGGGACCAATGTGAGCCCAAGCGGCTCCTTATCGAATGCACTCGGTCAGACACTGAACAACAGAGGAAGGCTGACAAGAACGCGCCCAAACAGTATGAAGAGGCTGAAAAGAATAGGGGACCTGACGTACCGATGCTGCTCCTGAACGGACGTCCCCTCGATGATGATGTCGATCACGATGAGGCTGAGACAAAGAGGGAAACTGACGTACCGATCCTGCTCCTGAACGGACGTCCCCTCGATGATGTTGTCGAGCACGATGAGGCTAAGACAAAGAGGGAAACTGACGTACCGATCCTGCTCCTAAACGGGCGTCCCCTCGATGATGATATAGAGCACGATGAGGCTGAGACAAAGAGGGAAACTGACGTACCGATCCTGCTCCTAAACGGGCGTCCCCTCGATGATGATATAGAGCACGATGAGGCTGAGACAAAGAGGGAAACTGACGTACGGATCCTGCTCCTGAACGGGCGTCCCCTCGATGATGATGTCGAGCACGATGAGGCTGAGACAAAGAGGGAAACTGACGTACCGATCCTGCTCCTGAACGGACGTCCCCTCGATGATGATGTCGAGCACGATGAGGCTGAGACAAAGAGGGAAACTGACGTACCGATCCTGCTCCTGAACGGACGTCCCCTCGATGATGATGTCGAGCACGATGAGGATGAGACAAAGAGGGTAACTGACGTACCGATCCTGCTCCTCAACGGACGTCCCCTCGATAATAATGTCGAGCACGATGAGGATGAGACAAACAGGGAAACTGACGTACCAATCCTGCTCCTGAACGGACGTCCCCTCGATGATGTTGTCGAGCACGATGCGGCTGAGACAAAGAGGAAAACTGACGTACCGATCCTGCTCCTGAACGGACGTCCCGTGATGATGTCGAGCACGATGAGGATGAGAGAAAGAGGGTTTCTGACTTACCGATGCTGCTCCTGAACGTGCGTCCCCTCGATGATGATGTCGAGCACGATGGGGCTGAGACAAAGAGAGAAACTGACGTACCAATCCTGCTCCTGAACGGACATTCCGTCGATGATAATGTCCAGCAGGAAGAGGTTGAGACAAAGAGGGAAACTGACGTACCGATCCTGCTCCTCAACGGGCGTTCCCTTGATGATGATGTCGAGCACGATGAGGCTGAGACAAAGAGGGAAACTGACGTACCGATGCTGCTCTTGAACGGACGTCCTCTTGAAGATGTTGTGCAGCAGGAAGAGGTTGAGACAAAGAGGGAAACTGACGTACCGATGCTGCTCCTTAACAAACGTCCCCTCGATGATGATGTCGAGCACGATGAGGCTGAGACAAAGAGGGTTGCTGACGTACCGATGCTGCTCCTTAACGGGCGTCCCCTCGAAGATGTTGTGCAGCAGGAAGAGGTTGAGACAAAGAGAAAACTGACGTACCGATCCTGCTCCTGAACGGGCGTCCCCTCGATGATGATGTCGAGCACGATGAGGCTGAGACAAAGAGGAAAACTGACGTACCGATGCTGCTCCTAAGCTGGCGTCCCCTCGATGATAATGCCCAGCACGATGAGGCTGAGACAAAGAGGGAAACTAACGTACCGATCCTGCTCCTCAACGGGCGGTCCCTCGATTATGATGTCGAGCACGATGAGGCCGAGACAAAGAGGAACCTGACGTGCCGATGCTGTCTCCTGAACGGGCGTCCTTTCGATGATGATGTCGAGCACGATGAGGCTGAGACAAAGAGGGAAACTGACGTACCGTTCCTGCTCCTGAGCGGGTGTCCTATCGTAGATGATGTAGAGTACGAAGAGGCTGAGGAAAAGACACCTGCTACTACTTATGGCTCTTTGAAATTCAGCCATCTTTCAGGTGATGCAAACATAGAGACATTATCCGTAAAGGCTGCACAAGAGCTTTCAAGTAATCCAGAGGCTACCATTGACCCAACGCCTTTACTGGTCACCTCCTGTTCGAATGATGGTTGTGGTTCAATGGAATGTCATTACCATCTTGATTTATGCGCCGAAGCAACGGGCAAGTCTCTTCTCCCTCACACTAGCTCACCTTCTGATCCCGAGACACGTCCAAAGAATACAGTGGATCGTCGACTAAGGAATCCTGTCCTTGCTCGAAAGTCAGTTTCAGCGCCAACACAGGCCTGTTCGCCACATGCGAAAGATTACAAGCTTAATCAGCGAGAACTAAAGCAGAGACCATCCATCAGGTTCAGGGCATCATTGGAGCCGATGACTACTGAAGTCGGTGGTGGAGACATGAAAGCACAGCCTACTGAAGCACCATCCTCATGGTGGAAACTAGACAAGCCTTCCAGTTACCCAGAGTTGGAAGAGCCGAGTATGAGCCTCCTGGACTTTACAGCAGTTGATCAACCTCGTGGACTGGAAATCCTGATCGAGAAAAGAGCACCACGGCAGTTTTGGTGTGCACCAGACTTGGTAAAAGGAGATGGACCCCGAGGACTAGAAATTGTGGTGGAGAATTCAGAATATTTCAACCCTGTACAACAGAAGGTATGGCAGAGGTGTCAGATAACGGACATGTTAAGCAAGGCGTCAACAAGCAACGTGGCCGCTTCGTCTTGCCATGGGAAGAGCCACTCTAAGATGAACATGCAGGTCAACAAGTTTCCTGTAACTGAGGGAGGGGACACTGTCCGAGACGAGCCAGCTGCATCCAGACCTTCTTTCCCACTGGCACTTTTAACACACAGGGTCAAGAGGGGCTACAGACTCAGCTCTATGCTATACTGATATAGATTAAGCTGTATTCATGTATGGGATGCTTTGCATTAATAACACAAAAAGAATGTGACCTACATTGGTAAGCCTTTATTATTACTGTGTTCTAGTATTCTTCTTGTAGTTTCCGTTTGTGTACCTACACCTTGATAACCGTCATCACTGGCACATCATTGAATTCATATTGTTTTCTTCGTATATATGTGGTTTCCTTAAGTCTTCTGTACAGAGCAAGAGTATTTTTTATTCTATTTTAACGTAGGTTCAATTATCACCTGACGCCAGCAATTGTTATGATTTGTCACAGGTCATTCTCAAAACGCAATAAATTTATGTTTAAAGAATTTTACTGTAGAAACGACTTGTTGTACATGTATGTGTCTAGAATATCATGGAGTGTATCGTTTTCTTACATATCTTAGAATTGACTGACCACTTGTGTGTGTTAGGGCAGACCAAGGCCTGTGTAACATTAATGTATCCTTGTGAAATATTTGAAAAAATGTACGTTTATAATGGTAAAATTACATACATGTATACATACGAACGTGCTATTTATTTTTTGCATACCAGAGATATGAACATTATTTACAAACCACGGATTTTAACAGATTTATTGTTTTACTACTTTGTTATATGTATGTACACGCGTACCCATATTTTAAACTGAAGGAAATTCAAAGCAATATACATTGCAAATGTTTTGTGGTTTTATAAACATATTGACTGCAATACATGTATGTCTTCTGAAGCCACAGAAGTGTTGCATTTACTGCTGGGTACAGAATGATTGCTTTGGGTGGCTAAGTTTTGGGTAAAGTGTATAGTCGTCCGTGCAGAGTAAGTTGACAGTACTTGTATGAGGGAGATTGACAGGCAACAATGACCAGAAAACTCCATCGTGATAACTGCCTGAAATTTTAAAACTTAATTTTATATTTGGCAGTTAAGGAAACGTGAACATCATTTAACATAACTAATGGAAATGCTAGAACAGAATTCTTTGCTTGGGTAAGACTGTCTTTGGGTGGAGAATATGATCAACATATTTCATGCAAACGAAGATATTATTTTGCATAATCAGGGGAAAAATTTAATTCATTAGTTAAAGGATTGATATCATTTTGGCTTTTTATCTGTATATAAAGTGGTGATGTATCTAATTATCTATCTATTGCCCGCCTGTTCAGCCGGGACCAAGCAACTACAGATTTCTTTCCAACGATCCTTACCTAACATAGCTTTTTATAAACAATCCAAATCAAAGCCAGTGTCTTTAAAGAGTCAGTGGAAGGCAAACCTCTGGAATGCACTCTGCCCCTTGGTTTCCTTGCCCCTTGGTTTCCACAAGAGGACGTTCGAGACTACCTCTTGCTTGGCTTTGCAACAATGCCCCGCAAACTTAACCCGTCGGTGGGTGAGCTTTACGGACAACCGTGGGAGGACACCATAAATAGTGTTGATATTGGCATGCTGTGTCCAAGATATGTTCTGAGCTCTACGCAGGAGCTATAGGTCCTATCCATTCTATTTTGAAGATACCGGGTGAGCGCCCATGTTTCTGAACCATAGAGTAATATAGGTTTTACATTATTTTGAAAAACTTGGACCTTCAATTTGCTAGACATATTTTATTTCCAGATTTTATCCAATTTGTTGCTTGCTTCCCGTGCCGTGCCAAGATATCTAAAATTTTCAACTCTCTGGATAAGTGCCTAAGACAATGATCGGAGTTCTAGTGATCCAGTAATATTAGTTACGTATTCTGTCTTAGATTCACTGCAATATAGTGATGCAGATTCCTCCAGTTCTCGGAGCAAAGTTTCTGCATTTTTTTTTTTACTTTTTCAGCCACTAAAGCAGTGTCATCTGCAAAATCCAAGTCAGCAAGATGCTAGACAGGGTGTCTTCGACTCCTGCGTGGTTTGATTTCTGTGTATGTCTAGTTTGCGTCTTAGTAGATAATCAAGAACATGCTATGGTATCGCCCTGAAGAACTCCAGTAACTATCTCGAATGAACTAGTCCCACCATCGGGAGTGATCACCGAGGCTGTAGTATTTCTATACAGAACCCTAACTGCTTTGATGAAACATTCTTGAATACCATACTGTACTAGAATATCAAACATTACATGTCTATCAATGGAATCAAATGCCTTACGGAAATCGAAAACCAGTAATACAAAATCCCTATTACATATCTTCATTTCTTCAATTATACGACGTATTGCAAGAATCTGTACAATTGTAGACCTCCCTTTTCTAAATCCATTTTGGTTCTTCCTAAGTATAGGGTCTAATACAGGGGTAAAAGCTTATTATACACCTTTGCTGCGATGGGGGTAAGCCTAATTCCTCTGTAATTAGAAGCAGGTGTTAAGTCCCCTTTTTTAAGAATTGGGACGGTTCCTCTTTTGGCCAATATGAAGGTGGACTATGATTCATAAAGATTTGGTTACATACGTGTAAGAGAAGAGCTTTAAAAGCCTCCCAAGTAAGTCATTCTTGTATGTCTTGACTGTTGGTTTGACTTTAGCAATATCGGTATAAAATGATATGGGGATATGTTAGAGTGCATTGCGATATCACAAATACCTATCAGAAACAGTATTTAATGTCTGTATCTGTATCTGTATAGCCGGTATAACCGCCTTTCGGCGTAACACACCAGCTTCGCAGGCACGCGGCGCGGCGGCAGCTGGCTATATTACACCGATCGACTTGTTACACCTAACCCTTGAACTTCTAGCTCTAGACATTGTCTAAAGTATTCTATTGACAGTGCCCCTACTGTACTTGGTGACAGTGAGTTCCACTCTGCGATAGTTCTAGGAAAAAATGAATTCTTGAACACCTCAATCCTTGGTTGATAACTCTGGTACTTGAATGCGTGGCTATTTCTTGTTTTCTTCTGAGCTGGTATTAGGTACTTAGTAGTTGGGACATCCACCAGTTTATTAGTCATTTTGTACATCATGCATAGTCTAGACATCTTTCTTCTGTCTTCAAGTGAGGTCCACTGTAGGTTTCTTTTCATTTCCGTGACACTAGCACCTCTTACATAGTTGTTCATACAGAATCTTGCAGCTTGATTCTGTACCCTTTCCAATTTGTCTTTGTCTTTCTTTGTATATGGATCCCATACTGTCGCAGCGTATTCTAGGTTCGGTCTTACAAGTGACGTGTATGCAAGTGATTTTACTCTCGTTGGACATGCCCACAGATTACGTTTAATCACTCCCAATGTCTGTTTCGCCTTAGTTGTGATATTATTAACATGTGCACCCCACTTCAGTCCGCTTGTCAGCGTGACGCCCAGATACGGATGGATTTTTGTGGTTGCTAAAGCCTGACCACAAAACTGGTAGCTAGTTGCATGTGGTGTTCGTTTGTTTGTTATGTGCATAATGTAGCATTTTTCGGGATTAAACTGCATGAGCCATTTGCTTTGCCATTCTTCCAGGGTGTTCAGGTCTTTTTGGAGAAGTTGTGAGTCGGTCTGTGTAGAAAGCTCTACATACAATAGACAGTCATCGGCGCGCAAATAACCTCACATTTGAGTCAAGCTGATCTGGTAGGTCATTTATATACAAGAGAAAGAGCAATGGCCCCAGGACGGTTCCTTGAGGGACCCCAGACGCTACTTTAACTGGAGCCGACGCCTTCCCTTCAACCACTACTGTTTGCTCCCTGTTGGTCAGGAAAGCCTTTAACCAATTCAGCGTAGGGCCTTGGATTCCATAATACTCCAGTTTTGAGGTGAGCCTGCCATGGGGGACTTTATCAAAGGCTTTAGTGAAATCAAGTATTGCTAAATCTACCTGCCGTTTACTGTTTAGTGCGCCAGCTATGTCATGGACTGTTAGTATAAGCTGTGTTTCTGTGGATCGTTTGTCACCTAGAAAAAACAGTCTGAATAGCACATTTTTCTCTTTCATTTATTAAAAAGATGTAATAAAACGATTGAAAGAATAAGATGTTTAATATACACGAGTGTATACAAAGTGGTGATGCATCAAATACGCATTGCATTGCATCAAAGTTCACGTCAAACAGAGGAAGCATTATCCATAGTCCACGAATACAAATGTTACGCAAAACACCAATATTGGTACGGCGGAAATTTTTATAAAATTCGTGTAAATTCTTAAAATTTAAGCTGACAATACCTTATATAAAACTGAATCTAAGAAATTGATGTGAGAACACCTACAAATATTAAAAATATCAACCGACAAATAATCTTGATGAGTAATTCATCTAAGATGAGTCATTTTTAACTAAGAAGGAAACAATGAAACGCCTGCCAGGCTTACTTTCTATAAAAAAAGTAGGAATACTCACACAAACACATACACAAACACACTCACGCAAAACACACACACACACACACATACAAAAACACACAGATCAGATGTCTTTTTTCTTGTCCAACCAAGGAGCTTTCATCCTTGGTCCAACACAGTAGCCGGTTTCAATGGGCCACATTGAATAATTACATTTAGGAACACACTTTAGTCCAATCAGTAGTTTCCGTTTCCAGCAGTTGGTGTTCTGGTCTGAATTCCGACTACCCTGTGGGGACAGAAATGACTGAATCAGTATTATCATGAAATTTCATCTGTGTTGGTAGTTTCATGTTTAGAGTTAAAAATCCTTTGATCCACAAAGAAGTTTTCTGACCTAGAGCTTTCGACAAATAACTCTGGTCGTCCTAAGTAGACCGGCCGAGTTATGCTTGTAAGGTGGCTTTCTGGAAGTAAACATCTTAACAAGTTTGCAAGTTGACGTCTACTGCCGAGATCTAGGTTAGAGAACTTTTTTGTGTTGGATCAAAAGTTTTAACTTTAAACACTCCAACAAACATTATAGCAATACATGTCGAGAGGGAGGGGGGGGAGAACATACAGGTACAATTTGTTAATCTCATGCAGCCGCTCATTAAGAGCCATGTCTGACCTTGCAACAGAAAATCAACGAAAATCAACATGTAGATATGTCACAGTCAAATATATATATATACCACAGTCGACTGAGTCGTCCAGCGATTGCCCTTCGATCTAATGTCTGTCAAAAAGGCTCGTTTGCTTAAGTAAGACTTCCATACACAGACAAGTTCTGTACCTGTGTGTATGTTTGTGCCTGTTACTCGAGTGTGTGTGTGTGTGTGTGCGTGTGAGCTTATGTGTCACTGTGTGTGTGTGTGTGTGTGTGTGTGTGTGTGTGTGTGTGTGTGTGTGTGCGTGTC